TATATAATATAATTAAAATTTATTTTAAAATATTCTGTTCTAATAGTTATTTTCTTGTGCATATGTGAGTAAATTTTATTTTATATTTGTTTCTATCTAAATGTAATGAGAAAGATTTGAGTTATATATAATAATTTTTTATTTTTACTTTTGTTATATCATAACATTCTATAATAGCCATGTAAAAAAAACCTAAATTTAATCTTATTTTTCTTGTGTGTGAATTATAATTGTGTATATCCTCAGATAAATGCATTTAGAGAACGGCAATACAATACAAACACATTGTAATATCATTACTGTGTATATGAGATAAAGATAAGTTATATACATATATAACCTAAGTAAAGAGACCAATTATGATTAATTACATAAAAAAATACCTCACAGAGCCTTCATCTTTAAGTGCGCTTGAAAGTACTCGCCGTCTCCTTTGGTTGCTTGTTTATTAATGTCCTTATGACGTTCCCGACTAACGATTTCTTCCAAAACTTCTCCGTCGCCTTTGATTAATCTTTATGAAAAGATAAAAATTCATTAAAATAATTATATATAAAATGTAGGAGAAATAATGTTAGAAATCAGGAGTAAGAATAATTGTAAAATTTTTGTATATGTTAGTTTCACTATTCGTTATTCTATTACTTTACAACATATTTATATATTCACCTATATCTTCCAGTTTCTTGGTCATAAATTCTACGAATCATATTTTGCCTCTTTTCCCATTCCTCTTTCGTCATAGGCGCCATAGCTTTTGCTTTTTCCATTACTTCGGGTACAACTTCCTTCATACTCTCTCTTTTACTGGACCCTTGAATTTCTTTATTTTCTTTAGATTTCTTCTTACTATATCCCTTTTTCTTAAATGTAGACTTTTTTAGCTTCTTCTTTAATTTCTTCTTCATCCGTTTTTTCTTCCGTTTTTTCATAGCTTTCTTTAATTTTTTAGCCTTTTTCTTGGCTTTCTTCTGCTTTCTTTCATCTTCTGAACTGTTGGTACTGCTGCTGCTACTACTGTCAGTATTACTGCTACTGCTGGTGCTACTGGAGCTGCTGCTGCTACTGTTGCTACTGCTACTAGTACTACTACTGACGCTAGAGGAGCTAGAAGTAGACAAAGACCTCTTTCGTTTCAATTTTTTGTGACTTGACTGAGTCTTGTCTTGCGAAACTCCTATTTTTTTCTTCTCTCTCTCTTTCACTTGCTCAACTATTTCCATGTTATCCTTTATCGAATCAAGTCTTTCCATCATTAAGGTCGCTCGTGATTGATTTGTTCGCTCTTTTGAACTATCTTCTCGCACTGACTGACTAGTTGCATTTCTGCCAGTATTTCTATAATAATCTTGCAATCTTGATCTGCCATAATTAGATGTTCTTTCGTAATTTCTGCTATTGTGTCTATTATAATGATAATTGTTATATGCATCCCTTCTATTTCTATCATAATAATTCTGACGTCTATAAGGACGTGAGTTAAAATGACCGTAATCTTTTCGATTATATGGTACGTGATTGTTGTACCATCTCTTGTTATGCCATCTCTGATCATTACTGTACTTGCCACTTCTTCTCTGTGAATCCATACCATTTTCATATCTCTTAGTTTTGTGCTCTGTATTCTCATCTTTGTCCTTTCTTTCTTTATATACATTTCTCTCTGGACTTGAAATGCTAGAAGAATTGGAACTATTGGAACTACTTCTATGCTTTGACTTCTTCCTCTTGTCCTTACTACATATGTTCCGTCTCCTCTTATTTTTCTCAGAGTTGTTACTGGAAGAAGAAGCTGATCGTCTCTTCGATTTGCTCTTTGTCGCTTTGACAGATGATTCTATCAGCACATCAGATTTCTCTGGATTATTCATCATTACAATTTCCTATTAACAAGAAAAATCTTGTTTATACCCGATTCCATTCAATTATTGTAGGTATTATTGTAAGTATTAAGGTAAATATTTCGTAAAATTAAAAGTTTTACATGACAAAATCTATAAAATTACTGCATTTTCTATAGCAATATTATGTTTATTATTCACAATAAAGTTTAATCGTTTATTTCAAAAAGACACATCTTCATACACAAATCGCAGAAGAATTAGCTTTTATGAAGAATTTTAATGTTTAAAAGATGTTTACCTACTACAATACCGTTACGGAAGTATAACCTAACTCTCGCTTTCTCTCTTTCCGTCGATCATAATCATCGACGTTTCACAGATGTTTGCAAAATTGTTGCATCAAACAATATTCTCGCTTCTTCCAATTTGTCGATTGAAAAATTGACAGTTGGCAAAAACACGCTAGACATTTACTTGTTTCATCAATTTCTAATCACCTTTAATTTTTCCGATCTTTCTTACCTTGAGCGATGATTTGACGAGATCTCACTAATGCTTCATAGATGTCAATAAGATCGATAACATGTGGCGCCTCTGTGGCAATCTAAGAAATTAAATTACTAATTTAATAAAGGGTGTTTTCCAGGGTATCGATCATGTAACTTTTCCCCTAGGGCGGAAAAATGAAAAATTTTGCCATTGATTTCAATGCTAATATTTTCCACTTTTCACGTTTCCGCCCTAGGGAAAAAGTTACATGATCGATACCCTGGGCTGCGTTCAGCCCGTATCAGACTACGCATTGAAGATTGAGATTGAAGATCGAAGATTGAAATTTGACCAATCAGGACAAAGAAATTTTAGTCCCTTTTGTTCTGATTAGTCAAATTTCAATCTTTAATCTTCAATCTTCAATTATCAATGCGTAATCTGATACGGGCTTTCGAGAACGTCACCCATGTGCACCGAGCGTCGTTCTATCTTTGTTATTTACTAAAAGTTGAACAAAGATAGAACAACGCTCGTGTGCACACGAGTGATGTTTTCGAACGCGGCCCTGCAAGGTATACAGATGACACAGTGTAATACACAATACATGATTGGCTATCAGATGAAGAAATTTAAAATTCTGTATTTGATAGCCAATCGTGTGATACTGTGTGTTACACTGTGTCATCTGTGTACCTTGCTGAAAAACACCCAAAGTTAATAATGTTATAGCGTTTTCGAATGTAGCAGGTTTAATCGCTCTGAAAGCGATTAATGACGTCATTGCATCGTCTCTGCCAAAACGGTGTAAAATTTCCTCTCCGAGGAAAATTTTACCCTATGGCCGGCCTGGAACCAATCCGAAACGCTCAAAAAAGTTTCGGAACGGCCATCGAGTAAAATTTTCCTCGAAGAGTACGTTTTGGAACGTAGCCTTAATACGTATTAAATACTACACTGGCCAATAGCCATACCATTCTTTAGGGCCGGTATTCATAGGCCGTTCTTATATTCAAGATCGTCTTAAGTGTGATCTTGGATCGTCTTAAGATCTCATTCAATCAATGAAATGGCCGCTTAGCATCTTAAGACCGTACTTAAGACGATCTTGAATATAAGAACGGACTATGAATACCGGCCTAGGGAAATTATATGGTGTAAACTAGGCCAATCACAATTAAACATTTTTTTACTACGTATGAGTGCTTGATTGTGATTAATCGATTTCCTTTTAGTTTACAGATATATGGCTGTCATGTAAAGCCCGGTCTATAAGTAAATCTTACGAAGACGAGCCTTAAAGGATCGCGATCGATGCCGCGTGGTCCTCATGGACCACGTTATTTTGATTAGGTACCGGTAACTAGTGTTGTTCTCGGGGACGCTTTCTCGCGCATGCGCAGCGCATTGGTAGAGAAATCCAGCGACGGCGTATGTAGTACATATTTGTGTACGTACATTACTTACAATAATATGTTTAATGCCAGAAATTTTTTAAGCTAATTATAATCGTCTTTTATTAATTTTTTATTATTTATTTGTGATTCATTAATTTGTAAAACATTTTAGATTATTCTTAACATTATCTGAGCAGAGGGCTTAACAGTACCCTTTTTCTTATAAATTTGACACGTATCTTAAGGCCACGTTTAACGCGCATGCGCGAGAAAGCGTCCCCGAGAACAACACTGGTGGTGATCTCATATCCGCAAAACTGTGGCATTGGAAGCGGACTTTATATTCCGTTTGACATCGCGAGAGTTTTGATTAACCAATGAAAGCGAGAAGATCCTGGTCCCGATTGGTCAATCAAACGCGTCGAATGCTTCGTAGTGTCAAACGGAACGCATCCTATGTGCTCTCTTGTATAAAATTTCACGTAAGAATGCGCGATATACTATGCGGCCATTTCATTGGTTGAATGGGATCTTAAGACGACCCAAGACCACACTTAAGACGATCTTGGATATAAGAACGGACTATGAATACCGGCCAAGATCGTCTTAAGTGTGATCTTGGATCGTCTTAAGAGGATGCCGGACCGTCCTGTTTTACCGACCATAATAATTATATATTTGCTTAATATAAAAGTTTTGTACAATAATATGTTCAATGTCAGAAATTTTTTAAACTAATTATAATCGTCTTTTATTAATTTTTTATTATTTATTTGTGATTCATTAATTTGTAAAACATTTTAGATTATTCTTAACATTATCTGAGCAGAAGGCTTAACAGTACCCTTTTTCTTATAAATGCCATTACATGGCAGCATCGAGCATCGAGCGTCTGCGCAGAAATCATTGCGCAGGAATCTGAATGAAATAGATTCCAGCTTCTTGCGGCTAATAGCATGATGAGTAATATGAATTCGGTCGAGATAAAAAAATTATGTTCTGATACACATTACTAATACTGAAAATTGATATTTATTTACATTATACACAATAGATATTATTATTATTAAACAAAATATGTATAAAACGTTACTATCCCCCAGCAAAATATTAAAATCTAATCAACCCATACAGCACAGAACGTTGCAGCAACATTGCAGCAACATTATAACATTGCCGCAATGTTACTACAATGTTGCAATGTTGCTGCAACGTTCTGTGCTGTATGGGAAGGATTATGGGATATAATTTTCATTTTTTTTCCTGCATGTTTATAACATACTGCTCCTTTAAATCATTTCCTACTTTTAACAATAGTTTTTCAAACTGTGTCGTTTTGTCATTTGTGAATCCCTTTTTGTGTCTTATTTATTTGAATATTTCAACCATCCAAAATCTTTTGCCGCATTTGTATTTTAATTTAATTTTAATTTACATTGCCAGAGTAGTAACGTTTCATAATATATCTTTGATTAATAATAACACACACACACACACACATCTGTTATATAATACAATAAATGAAATATAATTCTGGGCAACAATATTCTGCGCAGACGCTTAACGCTCGACGCTTGACGCTTGACGCTGCCATGTAAAGGCACCTTAAAGGCCATGTTTAACGCGCATGCACGAGAAAGCGTCCCCGAGAACAACACTGCCGGTAACGCATGAGGCAAGTGGCAAGGGCAAGATGCTACATGCCACGTGCGCGAGACCGTCAGGCGGGAAGAGTCAAGTATGGACCAACATAGGTCACCTGAGTGCATCTGTGGCCGCCAAGAAAACCAGTAGAATCGCGAGAGCATAACCAGTTACGTAGAATTCGAGATCGTTCGGGCAAATAAGTGAATATGTAAGGGCAAGTGATGGCCGGCCCGACATTGCAACACTCCGAAGAAGCTCGATTCAATTAGCATTGTCAACACACGAAGGTATAATAAAAAAATCTGTGATCATTTATGATTTTGTCAAAAGAATCATTAGGTTTGTTCTTTTTAGCTGAACTAGAACGGAATAGAATGATATATATATA